CTGTGCAACTTGGCACCAGACCCAAGGAAGCATCTCCTCTCCCCAGTGACCTTGGGGTTGGGTCCTCAAGAGTTCCCTGACTCCCTGGACTCCTTGTGTGCTTCCGAGTCATATGCGGTCCCCGCCCTCCTCCAGGTAGGAATGTTTAGGAATAAACAACACAAGAATCTTACCAAGGCCACCTACCAGAAGCCTGTCATAGTCACACGGAAACAAAGCAGCACAAGACCAGGTGATTAGACTAGAATCTACAGAATTACCTTTGCAAGCTGGAGGGGGTTGGCTTTCCAACATCCCCACACTAAGCTTTTTACTTCAGGCCACTAGCGACCATTTATTAAGTTTTTCTCTGTGCCAGACACCATTGTAAGACAACTTTTGTAAGATATTCTTAACAAAAGAAAAAAAGAAAGAAAGTCTTAGGAAACTCAGGCAGAGGGAGGTTAAGCCATTTCCTCATAGTTAAATGGTTTAAATGAGAAGTACACTTGGTCCCCAGATGGTGGTGCTGTTTGGAGAGGTAATGGGGATGTGCAGCCTTGCTAGTACATCACTGGGGGTGGGCTCTGAGAATACAATGTCTCCGCCAAGTCTAGTTCGCTTTCTGCTTCATGCTTCTGGTTAAAGATGTGAGCTCTCAGAATTCTTTTCTTATTCTTATTCTTATTCTTATTCTTTTTGTGAGTGTATGTGGTGAGCATGTGTGCATATGCATGTCTGCATGTGTGGAGTATGTGGGGGTATGCATACATGTGTGTGCATGTGGAAGCTATTGGTATTTGAAACCATCCTAGATCCTTCCTGCTCCTGCCACTGTGCCTGTGGCCACGCTTCCTTCCTTTCCTTGGTGGACTCTAATCTCTCTGGCACAATACACCAAAATAAAGTCTGTCTTCTCTTAGTTGTCATGGTCTGTGTTTTACCACAGCAACAACAACAACAAAAAAAGCGGATGTGGAGCCTGGGGTTTATCCTCATTAATCCTCCTTATTCATGGCAGTGGGTCCTCTCAACCCAGAGCTTGTCAATATGGCTGTTCCCACTGGCCAGCCTGCTCTGGGAAAAAAGTAACTAATACAGTCACACACAAGAGTGTGCTAGAACCAGGAATCCCACTTAGTCACAGGCTGGAGTCTGAACTCAAGATCAATCCTGTGTCTCTCTGCCATCTAAGCCTGGAATTACAGGTGAGCCACAATGCCCTCTCACCGTCTACATAGGTTCTGGGGAATCTGTGCTGCCTAGTTTTATGTCAACTTAACACAAGCTAAAGTCACCTGAGAGGAGGGAATCTCAATTAAGAAAATGCTTCTATAAGATCAGGTTGTAGAAGAGGAGAGACTACCTTAAATGCCCCCCCTGATAATGAGTGGAGGGAAACTCAATTAAGAAAATGCCTCCATCGATAGGTATTGGTGGTGCATGCCTTTAATCCCAGCACTTGGGAGGCAGAGGC